GTTTTTTTAAATATATTTTATTGATTTTTTACAGAGAGGAAGAGAGCGGGATAGAGAGTTAGAAACATCGATGAGAGAGAATCATCGATCAGCTGCCTCCTGCACACCCACTACTGGGGATGTGCCTGCAACCAAGGCACATGCCCTTGACCGGAATCAAACCTGGGACCCTTCAGTCCACAGGCCGACGCTCTATCCACTGAGCCAAACTGGTTTTGGTTGCTCTGAGATTTGTAATCGTGGTTTTATATGATGACTAGTAGCCCCGCGCATGAATTCATGTGCTAGTAATTTGATGCTGTCCCCCTTTGCTCCCCCAGCCCTCCCTTACCTTGCTGCCCTGCCCTGTCTTGTAGCTCTCCGCTGCCCGCTTGTTGTGCACTGCCCCACCCTCCTGCTGATCCCTGATCCAGTTGGCATGCATCATGGCATAATGGATAATTAGCATATTCCTATCTTATTATATAAGATTGTTATTGAGGTCAGGTCCTGTTTTAATATTAATGAGGACAGGCCCGATTTTCCCTGTTTGCTGACTTGCCCATCTATCTTTGCAGAACTCTGCTTGCTCATCTTTCCTGGTCATGACCAGCAGCCCGGGGGACCCCAGGTGCCCAGATGACAGCATAGCCCTCCAAAGCGAGGGTACCCAGGTTCCCAGAGGCTGCCTTCTAGCAAAAGTAATTGATTTGGTTCAAACAAGCTCCTTTTGAATGAAACCAATTATGGCCGAAACTGGTTTGGCTCAGTGGATAGAGCATCGGCCTGCAGACTGAAAGGTTGTGGGTTCGATTCCGGTCAAGGGCATGTACCTTGGTTGCGGGCACATCCCCAGTAGGGGGTGTGCAGGAAGCGGCTGATTAATGTCTCTCTGTCTCATCAATGTTTCTAACTCTCTATCCCTCTACCTTCCTCTCTGTAAAAAATCAATAAAATATATATTAAAAAAAAGAAGAAGAAGAAAGAAACCAACTCTGTTAGTCAAGGTTCCAGAGACCCAGAACCAATAGGGTGTGTGTGTGTGTGTGTGTGTGTGTAGAGAGAGAGAGAGAGAGAAAGAGAGAGAAAATCTGCAGGGCAGGCCGGGCGGCTGGAGACCAGGGAAGAGTGGATGCTGCGGTCTTGAGCCCAAAGGCAATCTGGAGGCAGAACCCCTCCCCACAGGCGTCCAAACTTTTCTCCTCAGGCCTTCAGTTCATCAGATGAGGCTCACCCACAGGATGGAGGGCAATCTGCTATCCTTAAACTCGGCTGGGTTAAATATTTTCCAGAAAGTAATTTCAGCCCTAGGCGGTTTGGCTCAGTGGATACAGCATTGGCCTGTGGGTTGAAAGGTTCCGAGTTCGATTCCGATCAAGTGCACCTGCCCTGGTTGCGGCCTCAGTCCCCAGTGTGGAGCATGCAGGAGGCAGCCGATCCATGATTCTCTCTCATCAGTGATGTTTCTATCTCTCTCTCCCTCTCCCTTTCTCTCTGAAATCAATAAAAGCATATTTTTTAAAAAAATAAAAAGGCACAGAAAAATCTAGAGATTTTTCTAGAATTAATAATAGTTGGAATTACAAAAAAAAAAATTTGTTTTTCAAGGAAACTTCAACACGTGTGTTTGGCCAAATTTGGATACCACAGCCCAGCCAGGTGACATGCAAAGCTAACCACCACGCAGCTAACTCCTGGGAGACGGAGGTTCCCACACCGGTTTCGCCACTCTGACAATGCCGAGGGTGTGCTTGCGTTGTCCTGCAGCCAGGAACATGTTCTGGTTCAGAGATATGCCAGCCTGATAAGCTCCCGAGGAGCCTGCCTTCTCCCCACCGACACCAGAGTCTGGACACTTCCAATGGAGGCACCGAGTGTGTGGGTCTATCCATACCTCCTCACTCTGTCTTGCTATGCATTAGCAAGGCTTGGTAGTCAAGGTGATTCTCAGCTGAGGTGATTTTGCTCCCAGTCCTGCCCCTGGGGACAGTTTTAGTTGGGGGGTGGGGTGGGGTGGGGGGTGGGGCGGGGAGGAAAAGAGAGCATGGCGCTGCTATTTGCATCTAGTGGCCAAATATCTTCCAATTCAGGACAGCCTCTGCCCAACAATGTTCTGGCCCTAAGCACCCATGGAGCCAAGACTGAGAAACCCTGATACAGACTTAAGGGCAAAGTAGAAACTTGATAAAGTGAAGAGCTGGAGCCCTAGCCTTAATCATTGGATTTGCACATACATTTCTCTCTCCAACTACGTAGTATGAATATATGCCCGCTTACGGGTTATTTTGAATCTGAGCAGATTTTGTTGTTTGCCAGGTTCCCAACTAAGCAAGAATAAAATGTCTCTGCACCTACTGTTTGAAGAGTCAGCTGGAAGGAAGTGGCAGAGAGAGAGAGAGAGAGAGAGAGAGAGAGAGAGAGAGAGAGAGAGAGAGAGAGAGAGAGAGAGAAACCCCATTTCGTTCAGCAGAAGAGAAACACAAACACATGATTGTGATCGGAAGCTGAGACATGACTTCTTGCTTCATCACCTTGCTTGGCTTGAGCCTTAATTTTGTTTGACTCCAACTCTCTGCTTACCCGACACCAGACCTGCACAGCTGAGCAAGGCCGAGAGAACACCCTCGGCCAGCCAGTCTCGCTTTAAATCGATAATTGATCATCTCAGGAGGATGGACACGTCTTTCCCTGGACCGTCATTTTCCTCCTGACTGACCGCTTCATTCCTGATTCTGTTTCCTCAAGCTGCACGCTGGCGTGGAGCCGTGGCTTTGTACTTCACTACAGAAAGTTACACAATCAGGAGAGAGCTCGCCCACGTTCTCACGGCTACACCTATGCGTCTCTCTGCACCCATATTTCACCCGACAAAGATCAACTTAGATCTTCTTTACTGAGCCCCTTTGCCTTCCTGCCTTTGATGGCGGAATGCTCCAACTTCTCCCTAATATCACGGACACGTGGTTCAGGATCCATGTGTCCACCCTGTATTTTACTTAAGGATACCCCCCAGTACTTTCCCCTTTTCTCCCTAATCATCCATCTCTCTCTCTCTCTCTCTCTCTCTCCTCTCTCTCTCTCCCTCCCTCCCTCCCTCCCTCCCTCCTTCCCTCCCTCTCTCCCTCCCTCCCTCTCTTCCTCCTGGATAATTTGCATCAGTAACAAGCACCAAAACAAACAAATTTCTCTTGATGTCCTTTCTTCTTCCAACTTTTGCCTTTTTTCCCTCCTTTTCCCCTTTATACTACAACTGCTTGGGCTCACTCTGTATGATTTTGGCTTCCTCCATTTTACAGGAACTGCTCGTGAAGGCACGATGAGCAGAGATTGGTAAGACTGGGTATGGGGAGACGGGCCCGTGTCTGAGTATTTTGCCACATTCAGTGTGCTAAGAACACGTGCTATGAAATTTTATAGCACACGAGGGCATTTGACTTGTATCAGCTGCTTTGCTTGTCAAAAGAAACTTATGACTCCCCATTACGCCTTCCCCTCACATTAGCCATAACTGCCCTCGCATTTCCCAAGGCAGATCATGCCCACGCCTGCGGTCCGCCTAATGGATCCCAGCGTGCACTTGGAGGATTCGCTGCAGCACCGCCGTTCATTTTACTTTGCAGCTCACATGGCAGGACATTTCCGGGAATCATTTCCCCACGGAGCTCCAACATCAATAACGGGGTCACCGACCCTGAAGCGGGGTCCCCGAGGGGTCGGAGCCCCGGCTTGCTCCACTGGGCAGGGCTGAGACCCTCCGTGGAGACCCCACACCCAAACGTCACTTGTCTAAGGTGCTTCAAAACCAAAATGGTGTCTTGGTGTGGGCAATCCCCTGCAACCATCAGGTTTCCTCCAACTCTTAAAATATATATATATATAAAACAACAAAAAGACATCAAATACATACCTACCAACAAGTGAATCTAAAAACCAAGTGAATAAAAAATCTGAAGAACAAAATGGACTGGTGAATATAATAGAATCAGGGACATAGAAAAGGAATGGACTGACAATTCTCAGGGGGAGGAGGGTCTGAGGGGTGCGGGAAGAGATTGGACAAAAGTCTTACACCTATTGCCCAAACCGGTTTGGCTCAGTGAATACAGCGTCGGCCTGTGGACTGAAGGGTCCCAGGTTCAATTCTGGTCAATGGCCCGTACCTTGGTTGCGGGCACATCCCCAGTGGGGAGTGTACAGGAGGCAGCTGGTCGATGTTTCTCTCTCATCGATGTTTCTAAGTCTATCCCTCTCTCTTCCTCTCTGTAAGAAATCAATAAAATATATATATAAAAAAAAATCTTACACCTATGGATGATGACAGTGGCAGGGGATAAGGTATGGGGTGGGGTTGGGAATCAGGTGGAGGCGAGCTATAGGGTAAAAAAGAGGAACACCTGTAATAATCTGAACAATAAAGATTCATTATATATATTTATAAAATAATATATATATATATATAAAATTTCAGAGGAAGGGAGATAGAGCCATCAGTGAGAGAGAATCCATGATCCGCTGCGCCTCTGCAGGCCCCACGCTGGGGATGGAGCCCGCAAACCCAGGCACGCGTCCCGACAGAATCGAAGCTGATCGCCCGGCCCCTAGGTCGATGCTGGGGGCACAGACGCGTTTCTTCGCGCACCCCCTCCTGCAGCAGACACAGCGGGCTGCTGCCAACGCCGCCGCCTCCGGTGCGGCCCGGCGGTCTGAGCAGAGCAGGGCCACCCAGGGGGCCTCATGGGGAAAGGGCGCGGTCCGCTCCTGCCAGCCCTGGGAGCGGATTGGCAGGGAAGGGCGGGGGCGTGGCCTCTACTTGAGGGGGCGTGACCATCTGCGCGGTGGGGCGTGACCTCTACGTAAGGGGGCGTGGCCTCTGCGCGGCGGCGCGCGAGGAGTGTCGGGCGTCGGCGGCGGCGGCGGCGGCCCCGGGAGGCGGTTGCTGCGCGCGGGACTCGGGTCGCTGCCTGAGGCGCAGGCGCCGGGGACTCAGGCCGCCTCGGGCCGCGGCTCGCTGGGCGCTCGCCATGGCGACCAAGCAGAGGCCTTTCCACCTGGTGGTGTTCGGTGCCTCCGGCTTCACCGGCCAGTTCGTGACCGAGGAGGTGGCCCGGGAGCAGATGGAGCCGGAGGGCAGCTCCCGCCTGGCCTGGGCCGTGGCGGGCCGCAGCCGGGAGAAGCTGCAGCGAGTGCTGGAGCGGGCGGCCGAGAAGCTGGGTAAAGGCGGGCGGCGCGGCCGGGGGCCTGGTCCTCCTGCGCCGGCCGGGCTCCGGGCTCCGGGCTCCGGGCTCCGGGCGCCCGGCCCGCGGAGCGCCGGCGGCGGCTCCTCCCGCCTTGCGAATGGCTCCTCCGGTTTGGGGCCCCCTGGCGGCGGAGTCAGAACTTGGGGTTTTCTTGGTCGCTCCGTCGCCGCTGGGGCGGAGGCTCCGGTTGGGTGCCCCGGGGTTGGAGGCGGGAGGGAGGCCGGAGTTGGCGCAGACGCGGTTGTGCTTCTGTTGGTTTGTTTTGCTCGTCAGACCCTCCGGGCTGTTTCCCCGCTTCCCGCGCCGCCTGAGCGCGTCCCTTGGGTGCAGACGGGGGGGGGGGGGGAAGGGCGGCCCCCAAGCCCCGCCAGCCCCGAGGTGGGAGGCAGTGATTTAGGACAACGAGGCTCCCCCCACCCTGTCTCCCCTTCCGCAGACCCATAGCTCCTGTTAGTTTCTTCCGTTCAATTTTCTTTTTTAAATATATTTTATTGATTTTTTTTTTTTTTTTTTTTACAGAGAGGAAGAGAGAGGGATAGAGAGTCAGAAACATCGACGAGAGAGAATCATCGATCAGCTGCCTCCTGCACACCCCCCACTGGGGATGTGCCTGCCACCAGGGTCCATGCCCTTGCCCGGAATCGAACCTTTCAGTCCGCAGGTCGACACTCTGTCCACCGAGCCACACCGGTTTCAGCATCTTCTGTTCTAGTTTTCATGTCGCTTTTATAAGTTCTTGATTTCAGAGAGGGGAAGGGAGATAAGCATCAATGCAGAGAGAGAACCATCCACCTTTGCCTCCTGCCCTCCCCCTCCCCCTCCCCGTGGAGCCCACAAACCAGGCAGGTGCCCCGACTGGGAGCTGGAGCCTGACCTGGTTTGTGGTCCACGCGCAGCCACTGAGCCACCCCCTCTCACTTCCTCCTCATCCCACACGGAGCCCTGGCCGAGGTGGGAATCTGTCGTGGAGTTTGTGGTCACTTACAGGAGACACCGTCCTGCCACTGGCCCACACTTCCTGCTGCCATTACTAGATAGAGGCGCCTGCCCGGCTGGTGTTGCTCAGCGGTTGGTTGAGCGTGGACCGTCATCATTGATGTTTCCTTCCCTCTCCCTTCCTCTCTGAAACCAATAAAAAAAAAAATAGTTGTTGAGGAATTTTTTCTTTTTAATTTTTTAAAAATATATTTTATTGATTTTGTACAGAGAGGAAGGGAGAGAGATAGTTAGAAACATCGATGAGAGAGAGTCATCAATCAGCTGCCTCTTGCACACCCCCTACTGGGGATATGCCCGCAACCAAGGTACATGCCCTTGACCGGAATCGAACCTGGGACCCTTCAGTCCACAGGCTGACACTCTTATCCACTGAGCCAAACCAGTTAGCTTTCGGGATTTTGCTGTCAGTGATTCCTATAAAAAGAAGATCTGGGAGGTCTCATTCTGTATGGGATTCACCTAAAGTGATTTATTTCTTATTTCAGGAAGACCGACACTCCCATCTGAAGTCGGGATAATAATTTGTGATATCAGTAATCCAACCTCACTGGATGAAATGGCCAAACAGGCAACAATTGTCCTCAACTGTGTAGGACCCGTAAGTAACCAGCCCTCCTTTGTGTTAAAACAAAGAGCCTATTCACCTCGAGCAGAATCTCCAGAGGATCGGGAGGGCGGGCATTGTTGGGGCCTTCACCCTTTATGGGGAGTTTTCACTCTGTGGTCAGCAAACTGATAGGACCAAATCTCCTGAGATGGGTCAGTCCTCTGTGATACTCTACTCAAGGAATGTGTGCTGGGTTGTTTCGTTTGTTGATTATTTACAGCTACAATTGGAGATATTTTTTTCCCCTCCCTTTACTGTATGCTCCTCAAGTAAAAAAATGTTGGAGCATGTTCTCTTAATATAATTTTTATTTATTACAAATTATTTGTCTGCATTACTATACAAATATATTTGTTAAAAACGTATAAAAATAGAGATCGAAAAAGTCTCATTCATTTGTTCAGTATTTATTGAATGCTTTTTATACAGGGTTGGGCAAAAGTAGGTTTACAATGCAAGAGTAAACTATGTTTAATGTACTCACAACTGTAAACCTGCTATTGCCCACTCCTGAATGCACATGCATTAGTCCAGGTGCCTGCGACATGACGGCGAACAAAAGAACCTCGCTTAGAGCTTGCAGTCCAGGGGGAGAGACAGGAAAACGAGTTATAATAGTTGGGAGTTGGTAAGTGCTTTGGAGAAAAATAAAGCTGAGTGAGGAGATAAAGAGACGGGCACACCAGTGTCTGGATGGTCAGGGAGGAGCTCTGAGGACTTGACCTTGGCTGGAGACCTGAGAAAAGGGAGTAAGCCGTGTGAGTGTTGGGGGGAGGGCACAGGGTCGGAGTGCTAACGGCCGAGATCAGAGTGAATTGAGAGGAGCCACCAGCCTGTGCTCCTGTACTAACTGGAGGTGGAAGAAGCACGTGCATGTAAGAATCGACAACAACAAACCCCCTTGAGGGTGGGTGACCTCGGCTGATCTGAGGGAGCCACCACAGTTAACAAAACACTGGACACCACGCTGGAAGGTTTGTTATCACATAAAAATGTACCTAAGTTGTTGTTTATTTAGATTTGTCTCATTCTTAACTATCTTAGGTTCTCTGGTCCTTTGCTTGAATTCCTCTTACATACACCTTCAGTCAGTGCCTTTGCCCTTTCGTCCCCGGTGCTCTGGAAAAACCCCGTCCTGGTATTCCGGATCTCAGCTTACTCTACCGGCGACACCCAGCAAGGCCGGGGAAAATGCATCTCCCTGCCAACTGGTCCCCTTGAAATATGTGACCTAAGTCTCAGCGCCTCCAGCGATTCTGCCCCATTCCTAGCTGGTATTCTTTCTCCTATTCTTCGTAGCACTGTTTTTTGTTTTGTTTTTTTATCCACACCCAAGGATATTTTCCCATTGATTCTTAGGGAGAGTGGAAGAAAGTGGAAGGGACAGAGAGAAACATCGATGGAAGAGAGAGACATTGATTGGTTGCCTCCCGCATGCTGGGGATTGAGCCTGCACCTGAAGTACGTGCCCTCAACTGGAATCGAACCCAGGACCCTTCAGTTTGAGGGCCTGATGCTCTATCCATTGAACCAAATCTGCTAGGGCCCAAGCAGCAGTTTTACAACTTTTCCCTCACACTTTTAGCATCCTGTTGCTTTTTCCTCAGTTATCTGATGATTTTAAAAACTATTTTGTTGAGTTTATTGGGGTGACATTGCTTAATAAAATCATGTGTTTTAAGGGTACAATTCTATAATACATCATCTGTGTATTTTATTGCGCTCACCACCTAAAGTCAAGCCTTCTTCCGTCACCTTTTCCCTCTTCTGCCTCCTCCACCTTCCCTTTCATGATGTGGGAGGGTGCAATGTGCTGTCAATGTTCAGTGTCTGTGTCTATGAGTTGGAGGTTTGTTGATGTTGATTCTTACTGTGAAAATGGGAGCTGTCAGAACAGATGAAGTTCAATGTCAATGACAATTGGGGTCCTTCCTGATAGGGCCCAAGTATTTGTACATTCCCCTTGACTACCCTGCGCTTCAGGTATCCTGAAGAGCCCCTTGCTTACACCTTGCCGTACCTATAGGCTACTTTATTAGTATTTGATTTCTTAATAACCAAGACTGTTCTTCCAAACAGAATGGCATTTCATTCATTTACGTTTCCTAAGTAAGAGTAAACTGTTGGTTTTCTCTCTTCCCCCAGTACCGATTTTATGGAGAACCGGTAGTAAAAGCATGTGTTGAAAATGGAACTAGCTGCATTGACATCTCTGGAGAACCTCATGTATGTAAACTGAGAAAACCCCACCAATTAATAGCCCAATTTTCTGTTAAAGTGGGAAATATTTAATGCCTCTTGCAGACATTGTAGAAGGGGGTGGGTGAGTCCACCTTGGTGTTTAGAAATGGTACTCCATCGCAGCTCCCAGGAGGGCACGGTGGTGAGGTTTTAGCTTAGTTTGCTGGGAACTTTTCCTTCCCTACAATCTGAATTAATTAAAACAGTGTGCTCTTGAGTAATTCTTGGAATCTTATTTTGGTATCTCTTATTATAAATTCCCTTTTTAAAATCATATACCTTTACAACATTACAGAGGGAAAAAAGTAAAATCCCCTCAACATAAAAAGTTTAAATGTCGTATTCATTTGAATGCTTGCCACATGCCAGACAATGTACTAAATAAACATCATATGTAACTTTTTACCATTCCTACAAAGTATCATATTTTCCCCTGTTTTATAGACGAGAAAATTGAACCTTAAAAAGGTTAAGTAACTTGTTCAGAGTCATGCAACTAGTAAGTAGAAAAACTAGAACTTGAATTGAGGTTTGCCTGACTGTAGGAAGTGATGTGTTCATAGCACTAAGCTACTTTAAAACTGTAACTCCTTTAAAACTGTAACCTCTAGTCTACTGATTACTACCATCAGAGTTTATTGATTGTTAATATATATTGGAAAATACCAGGAAAGTATAAATTACCAAATTTATTCATGAAGAGGTAGGAAACATAAATTAAACAAAACCAATTCCTATATTATTATTTTTTAATAGTTTTTATTGATTTCAGAGAGGGAGAGGGAGAAAGAGAGAAATATCAGTGATGAGAGAGAATCATTAATTGGCTGCCTCCTGCATGCCCCCTACTGGGGGCCTGCAACCCAGGCATGTGCCCTTGAATCAAACCTGGGACCCTTCAGTCTGCAGGCCAGTGTTCTATCCACTGAGCCAAACCAGCTGGGACACTATATTATTTAAAATATTCCAGAGCAGAGAAAATGGTAAAAAAACAAAACAAAACAAAACAAAAACTTATAAACTACCATAAAAGTAATATAAAAACCTAATAAAAATTGAGATATATAAATAACTCTTAAGTCATAATACAAATTCAAATAAACAAATTAAAATGGGCAAAAGGCCCTAACCAGTTTGGTTCAGTGGATAGAGCCCCGGCCTGCAGATTCAAGGCTCCCATATTCAATTCGGGTCAAGGGCATGTACTTTGGTTGAGGGCAAATACCCAGTAGGGAATGTGCAGGAGGCAGCTGATTGATGTTTCTAACTATCCTCCCTTCTTCTGTGTAAAAGTTAATAAAATATTTTTTAAATAAATAAAATAAAATGGGCAAAAGGATGAGAAGAGACAAATTTGTGCAGAAAAATTCCAAATAGCGTGGCTCAGTGGTTGAGAATTGATATGAACCAGGAGGTCATGGTTCAATTCCTGGATGGGGCACATGCCCGGGTTGCAGGCTCGATTCCCAGTAGGGGGTGTGCAGAAGGCAGCAGATCCATGATTCTCCTCATTGATGTTCCTCTTTCCCTCTCCCTTTCTTTCTCTCTGAAATCAATAAAAACGTACATTTTTAAAAATTCCAAATTATTTATGTAGCTACTCTGCCCTGGGGGGAATTATGGGGGTTTAATTCCTCGCTCCTAAGTGTGGGCCTCGCATAGTCACTTCCAAAGAATACAGCATGGAAAGGAGGGGGAAGAGTGAGCAACATTTACAGAGGAAAAACCGGAAAAACACTTCCCCAGCCAGATATTGAAGGTCAACATCAAGTGATAAGCTGGTGATAGTATGTACTTTGATATGGTGTCATGACATGGCACCCAACTCCCCATGGTCTTCCTTTCAAAACCCTGTAACTCCAGCCTTGTCATGAGAAAAACTTGCAATAAATTCCAGTAGAGGGGCATTCTACAAAGTACCTGTCCAGTTCATACAAAACAGGGAGAGGCTGTCAGTCAAAAGGAGCTTAGCTGGGCATGTAAATGTAATAATACTGTCCTGGCTGGAGTCCTGGGACAGAAAAACAACTTGGGGAAAAGCTAAAGAATCTGAATCAAGTGTGGACTTTGGCTAATGATAATGTATCAGTTTTGCTTTATTAATTGTGACAAATAATATAAAAGATGTACTGATAGGAGAAACTGTGGGTGGTATTTGGGAACTCTACTAACAAGATTTCTGTAAATCTAAAACTGTTCTTTAAAAAATCAAGTAATTTTTATTTTATTTATTTTTAAAATATATTTCTATTTCAGAGAAGAAGGGAGAGGGAGAGAGAGAGAGAAACATCAACAATGGGAGAGAGTCATTGATCGGCTGCCTCCTGCACGCCCCTGCTGGGGATTGAGCCGCAAGCTGAGCATGTGCCCTTGACTGGAACCAAATCCGGGACCTTTCAGTCCACAGGCCAACGCTCTATCCATTGAGCTACGCCAACCAGGGCTCAAGTAATTTTTAAAAAAATAGGCAAAGGGTTTGAATAGACATTGTTTCCTTCTCACATTCCCTCCTTTCCTGCCTCTCTATTTTTCTGTTATATGTATGTGTGCATAGATAGAGATCTATAATGACGTTCATATCAGTAATTGATTTGGCGTAACTTTTTTGCTTTGTATTTTTTTCTGTGTTAATAGTTATTTTTATAAGAGAGATTACTTTTGCATTTACAAGTCATTCTGAAAAAGCAATAGTGTCAGTAGTGAGATCAGCATCTGCACATGTGGTAAATGTTTGCTAAATAAATGAAAAACTTGTTGACAGTTAATATTTCTCCACAGAGCCCTATTGGTTAGCATTTTCAAAGGTTAGTTCTTTTGTCTTTAAAGGTAATCACTTACTACTGGTCAAGATGTTTCTATATAGCTCTGACTCAGATCTTTTGTCCTGAATTTTTAGTTTCTGGAACTAATGTATTGGAAGTATCACGAGAAAGCTGCAGAAAAAGGGGTTTATATCATTGGAAGCAGTGGCTTTGACTCCATTCCAGCAGATATGGGAGTAATATATACCAGCAGTAAAATTAATGGTAATTATTAATCAGTTCACAAAAGTTGAATTTAACAGTAGAAAGCCTTCATGTTTGCAATTAATGATGAATTAAAATCTGGTTGGTTGAGAAAAGAAACATCTATAAATGGGTAATGTTGAAATACTTGCTTTTATTTTTAATATAGCTATGCTTATTATAAAACTAGAGGCCCAGCACCAGCACACAAAATTGTGTGCCCGTAGCTCATCTCTGCTTGCTGCTGCTTGCTTCCCCACACGCTCACTGCCCTAGAGCCACGAGTAGCCCTGCCCGCTGCCATGAGCTGCTGCTCTCAGGGAGGGGGGAGGGGGGAGAGACCAAGAGTGGTTAATGCACCTCATGGTGACTGCTCAAGCTGTCATTGTGCTTGTGGGCCCTGGCCTTTATTATCTAGGATGCTGTTGACACTATCGGATTTTTAAGATATGGATAGTAGTGTAAGTGTTCTAAAGTGAAGAATTACCCATTGTCTCAATTCTTTATGGTTACAGCTGTAAAATTGCTAGGAAAAAAATTTAGGAGCCATTATAAATTCAAATTTGTTTTGTTTATGAATTAACACATTTTAAATTATGATTTATATAGATATTATAGTCAAAGGTTTTAATTTTTTAACCAACAAAGCTAGAAAGCATTGAACAAAATTTTTTATCTCTTTTTTACCTCATTTATAAACTAGGGACAATAATTTAAGAATAGAAAACATCATCAGTAGTTTGGTAAAACATGGAAATTGCTAATATCATGCGTATTTTAAAAGTATTCATTTAGAAAATGACCTAAAAAGAGAATTCCAGTACCACACAAACTGTTCTACAGCTTAGAAAGATGGAAAGTGTTCCAGTTTACATTTAAAAGTTAACTCTGAAACCAAAGTCCAACAAAGATAGCACAGAGTGAAAAAAAGCTAAGGTCAGTCTTACTTGCGAAAGAGGTTGTAAAAAGAAATTGCTAAATAACATTTTAATAAATATCGAGTGATGTTTCATTTATTTATTTTTAAACATTTTAAAAAAATATTTTATTGACTTTTTACAGAGAGGAAGAGAGAAGAATAGAGAATTAGGAACATTGATGAGAGAGAATCATTGATCAGCTGCCTCCTGCACACCCCCTACCGGGGATGTGCCCGAACCAAGGTACATGCCCCTGATTGGAATTGAACCGAGGACCTTTCAGTCCGCAGACCGACGCTCTATCCACTGAGCCACACCAGTTTTGGCTGTCCTTAATTTTTGTCGGAAGTCAGGCTACTGACATTTATGTGGCCATCGTTCTCTCCTGCTGCAGCATGAGACACAGTAGATGACACAATTCATTATTTTTCCCAGTGTCAGCTTTATTGAGTACCACGTTTTAATTTTTTCTTGGAATTAAACCTAGGAATACTGTCTCTTATGAAATTGACATTTTATTTTTTATCAGATTTTGAGATTCAGACCTATATTTTTCTTTTGTCTTATTGCTCTGGAGAATTTAAAAGATTAATTAAATACTTGATCACTATGCTTGTATCGATATATTAGTTCTCATGGTTAATATAATTGATTTCTCCCCTTTTTCCTGGTTTTGGTTTTCTACTTTTACTTTATACTTATTATATTTTTATTTCATTTAAAATGTCTTAATGCAATATTTTACAAGTCATCACAAAGGCCATTTAGATAGGTTTTCTGTATGTCACTATTAATAAGTATTCTTAAAAGCTGTCATATTGGAAAGCCAAATAATTCCCTTAGATGTACTTTTCAGAACTATGTCCTGCTGCCTTCCAGGATGGGTGGGCTGAATTGTTGCCTTATTGGGAGGTTTTTAGCGTTGGTTTGAGTACTAACAAATACTTGGTCAGTACTCGCAGATAGAGTTTATGCTAAACTACAATTTACCTGGTTCAGCTGTCTTTTAACACTGTTTACAAAAACATAGTAAAACTGTTACCAGTGTTGATTCTCTGACTATATCAGCTGCAGGCTTAGTAAAAGCAGACCCTGAAGGAATAGGAATCACTCATTGTAACTGTCCTGGCAAATAGGTTTCATTTGATTTGTGTTGACCATTTTCCTGCTCTTTGCAGGTACTTTGACTGCAGTGGAAAGTTTCCTGACTATAAACTCAGGACCTGAGGTTAGTTTTTTTGTTTGTCAAGTGCTTTCTAAGTTAATACTAAAAACATCTTGGAAATGATACATGCTTCCTAAGAAAATATTTAAATTAATTAAATTATACATATATTTGTACTTTTTAGTGTATGAAAGTCCCTGTGTTTAATTAAAAAAAATAAAGATACTAGATTGCTGAGCATTCCTTTGACCTAAGAATAGAATTTATTTTTAGCCGGGACCGGTCTGGCTCAGTGGATAGAGCGTCGGCCTGCGGACTGAAAGATCCCGGGTTCAATTCCTGGCAAGGGCATGTACCTTGGTTGCGGGCACATCCCCAGTGGGGGGTGTGCAAGAGGCAGCTGATCGATGACTCTCTGTCATCGATGTTTCTGACTCTCTGTCCCTCTCTCTTCTCTGTGAAAAATCAATAAAATATATTTTTTTTAAAAAAGAATTTATTTTTAAAACAACTGCACAATTTGTTATATTAGAATGAATTCCCATGATCCTAACTGAAGATTCTATGGTTGTTCTGCAATAAATGTTGTCAGAGTCGGTGTGTTTTATTCTGTGCCTAACTGGGTTTAGGTGCTTTCGTGGCCAAACAAGGAATGTGTGATAGAAATGCATTTACAGTCCATTTGGGAACATAAGACAGTTGTCTCTGTTTGTGATAGTCCTTTATTGCCAGTGGTGTCTGACGTGAGGCTTCCTAAGAACTGTTCATTCAGCCCTGGCCAAGTGGCTCAGTGGGTTATACACCAGCGTTGCAGGCTTTTATATATATAGACTATGGGCCTGCTGACTGTGCCGAGCAATCAAGGCCAGCGCTTGGCACCGGCAGTGGGTGCGAGTGCTAAGCAGGACTGCGGCACTTGGGAGCAGAGAATTTTCAGTGACCACCAGATGCTCGCCCCGATGACCGCGACCAGCGCCCCAGCTTAGTCTGGTGCCCCTGCTCGCCTGCTCCACCATCCAGCCGATGCCCACCGTGTTCCACGCCCTGCTGCTTGTTGCCCACACCTGCTATGTTCTGCGTGTGCCCCCTGGTGGTCAGTGCATGTCATAGCAACCTGTTCGGTTCTGCAGTTCAGTCTATTTGCATATTAGCCTTTTATTATATAGGATACTAATGGGCACTTGGGCTGTTTCCAAATCTTAGCTATCGTAAATAACACTGCTGTATTATAACATACATTCTTTCTGATTGGTGTTTTAGGGCTTTAGGATATATTTTCAGAAGCAGGATTGCTGGCTCAAATGGAAGTTCCATTTTTAATTATTTGAGGAAACTTCATACTGTTTTCCATAATGGTTGCACCAGTCTGCACTCCCACCAGCAGTGTACTAGGCTTCCTTTTTCTCCACATCCTCGCCAGCATCTGTCATCTGTTGAGTTGTTGATAGTAGCCATTCTGACAGGTGTGAGGTGATTTCTTTTTGTGGTTTTAATTTGCATTTCTCTGATGATTAGTGACTTTGTCTTTACTCCATTGTGTGTTCTTGCTTCCTTTGTCAAATATTATTTGACCATAATGGTGGGACGGTTTCTGCGGTCTCTATTCTGATCCATTGGCCTATGTGCCTGTTCTTGTGCCAGTACCAGGCTGTTTTGCTTACAAGGCTTTGTGGTATAGTTTGATATCTGGTATTGTGATTGATTCTTTGCCTTTCATTGTCATTAAAGCTAAGATATCGATATTAAAAACCTGACTCTTCTAATGGTGTGATTGTTTCCCTTATTCTGCTTGTTAGCAATCAACAGTATCTTCACATCTGCCTCACCAATATTCTTCTTTCAAAGTCTTGTGACAAAGTTGGTTTTGAATGTTTCTAAACAACATATAAGGCAGGATATAATATCGTTATGTACAAACAAAATTATAAATTAAGTCTGAAATATTTACACTATTATGTAAAGAATTAAAAGCCCCACCTAGATGTTAGGTAAAGAAGGTCAGCATGGGACAGTAAGTCTCAGGATTACTTCTTCACCTGTGCTCTCCTTTCTGCCACTCATTTCTTCTGCTTTTAATAATTAAAATTTTTTTTATTGATTTTAGGTAGGAAGAGAGAGGGAGGAAAGAAAGGAGGGAGGGAGAGAAAGAGAGAGAGAGAGAGAGAGAGAGAGAGAGAGAGAGAATCATCAATGGTGAGAGAAAAGTCATTGATCTGCTGCCTCCTGCATGCCCTCTACCGGGGAATGAGCCCACAACCCAGGCATGTGCCCTGACTGGGAATTGAACCATAACTTCCTGGTTCATAGGTCGACACTCAACCACTGAGCGATATCGGCCAGGCTATATGTTGAAATTTTAAGGATTCAACATAAGGATATGGATTAGAAAGGCTAATTTTGAAGGTTAGTTAAGTGAAAATTATGAAGTGAAATACAATGGCTTATTGAAAAGAGCATAAACAATGGTAGAAGGGAAGAAGAGAGGGCATTTGTTGGTGTAAATATTGAATGTTATTGCTGCCTAGCCGGTCATGAAAATTCATCTCAAAATTACCAAATAATGGATTATCCTTTGAATAAATAGAGGTGAACTGTTCTTTGTGCCAATTATAACTTATTTGGTTTTACGTTTTAATAATTATTTCTTAAGACATATTTCTTTAATTATTTTATTAGGGGTTGTGCATTCATGATGGTACCTGGAAGTCAGCAATTTATGGTTTTGGAAATCAGAGTCAATTGAAAAAACTACGAGAGCAGTCAAATCTGAAACCTGTCCCAATTGTTGGTACAAAATTAAAAAGAAGGTATATTAGTTCAAAAATTTATTTTTTAGTATCTCTAGTCTAACTATTTTGTGTTGATCTGGCTATTAATAAAGTATGCTACAAAGAAAATCTTGGAGACTAGTTTGTAGTAACTCCAGAATTGTTCTCAAAGATAAATAAAATATAATTAATATCTTACCCTAAGCTTAAGTATGTCTACATATATAAAAGCCTGATATTCAAAGTGTCCCTTCGGGAGTTTGACCAACCGGGAGTTCGATTGCTTGCTATAATGTGTGCTGACTATCACGGGGCAGCACGGAATGGAGGGAGGCCCCAGCCGGCAGCAGGTAGCTGGGGAAGGGAGTCCCTGGCTGGCAGCTGGCAGGTGCAAGGGACCCTACCTGTACATGAATTCCGTGCCCTGGGCCTCTAGTATAAATGTGTTGTTATGGCCCTGGCCAGGTCGCTTGCAGTGGTTAGAGCGTCAGCCCTTGGCCTAAGGATGGCAGTTTTGATTCCTAGTCAAAGGTAAATACCTGTGTTGCAGGTTCAATCCCTGGAGGCGCATGTAGGAGGCAACCAGTCAATGTTCCTTCCTCTCCCCCTGCCTTCTTCCCTTCCAGCCTCTAAAAGCCAATGGGAAAAACATTGTGAGGATTCATTAATAAATAAATAAAATAATACATTTATACCCTTGGAAAAAATTTTTGACTTTTCAGTATTGCTATCAAAATTAAACATCAATTAAATTTTGTACAGTGAAACTATCAACTTAAAGTGTGATAATCTTATGTACTTAATCAACGTGTGAATATCATTTATTTGTAAGAACTCTAATCTCAGAGTTTGGCTGTTGAAATGAGTGTTCTTTTTATCATTGTCCTGTGAGACTAATGGGGTGAAACATAGTTAAACTACATGTATTAAGTTCCCACGGTGTGAAGAATACTCCTTGTTCACTGGGCTCATGTTTGGGTGCATAGAGAATAAAGAACAAATACTGAAATACTAATTAAAAGTAGCCACGAGAAAGTCAAAATGTGTATTCAGAAATGTGCCCGCTGACGTGGCACTGCCTTTGGAGAAAACGCAGCCTGTGTGTGTCTTGCAGGTGGCCAGTCTCCTACTGCAGAGAGCTCAGCAGTTACTCCATTCCTTTCATGGGAGCCGATGTGTCTGTTGTAAAGCGAACTCAGCGTTACTTGCATGAAAATTTAGAGCAATTACCTGTAAGTCTACACAATTTATTTTTTAATAAAGAGCATTCTATGTTTGTTATAGTTTCCCCACAGTTTAATTAGGATTTTTATGTTTATAAAACCAAAAGAGAAATAGCTGGATAATGTGTGTTTCATTCCTGGAAGTTTAGTCAGTATGTGGAGCATTTTGCCTGTCAGGGGTGGTAGTACCTCCCCCATAGCTGAGTACTTCAGTGGAGCACAACAGAGCACAGGAAACCCTGGTTTGTAAACCCGATGGTCAGCAGCTAGAATCCTCCTCTTCCCTCCTTGCTGCCTCTGAGTATCACCTCCTTTTTGTGAGGGAAGCACACCATTGCTCCACCTGCGGAGACTTGAAGAGGCCACTCTCTCAGGTTAAAGGATCGGAGCATTTCCTTACGAAGAGGGGATAAGTGTACTCTGTGTCCTATCATGTCTAATTGCTCAGTGCCGTACGTATTGAACCGTCTCTATATGTATGGATCATGCGGACCTTTGTGCTCCAGAGAGGAAGCTAATGAGTATTCGCAACGATTTCTTTTAAAACTGTGCTCCCAGTGTCTGGTTTCTGAACAAGCTTTCAGAGCATAACATGTCATAAAGTGGAAGCCGCTTTTGTTCAGATTTCCGGCTTCAGGGCAGGTTGTAAGAGCTGGTGTTCCTGTAACGAGAGAGTCACGTCTGACTCACGTGCTCCCCCAGGTTCAGTATGCTGCTTACGTCACTGTGGGCGGCTTGGCCTCTGTGATGAAGCTGATGTTTGCAGGGCTCTTCTTCTTGTTGTTCGTGAAGTTTGGCATCGGACGGCAGCTCCTCATAAAAGTAAGTGACTGTTCATGAAATTGCGTCTAACAGTATTTTCCAGGAGTTTTAAAATATCTCACTGAGCGCTGTTGTTTTCCCCTTTAGTTCCCATGGCTCTTCTCCTTTGGTTATTTTTCCAAACAAGGTCCAACACAAAAACAGGTAACTCTTGTGTTCAGGTCTCTAAAATAATATTTTCTTTTTGTGTTTTACTTTCCTCAGTGCAGTGACAATAACAGCTAAGGCTTGATGGAGCACTTGCTATGCATCAAATGCCCTTTACATAGTTCGCATAAATTAGATTACTTAATCTTCTCAAACACCTCTGGGAGTGGGTATTATCTCCGTTTTTACAACTCTAAGTGGAACAGTAATAAATTACTTGCTGGCTATTTTTGTCTTGGCACCTCAAACAGATGGTTAAAACCAGGTGGTCATATGCTATCAATCTAAAATAAAAAGTACCTGCAGCTTGTGCCCTAAAACTGTCTATTTTTTTTTTTTTTTTTTTTAATTTATTTTTTATTTATTTTTTTTTGAAGGAATATTTAATATTAACATTGTGAGTTATTATCTTTTGCATATCCAAGTTACACATTTCAAACAAATCGTCACTTATATTTACAGTATACAGATGCAAAGCATTAATTTCCCACTAAATCATCACTTTCTTAAAATGGTACATGTGATGTTATGAAATTAGCTATTAAGCATTCAAAATAGTGGAAAAGAGGTCCTTTCTTCAGTCTTTTTTTTTTTTTTTTTTAAATATATATTTTTTTTTTTGATTTTTTTTTTGCCCCCCCTCCCTCCCTCCCTCACATCCCCTCCCTCCCCAGAGTTTTATGTCCAATGGTTGTACTTATGTACATGTATAAAAGTCCTTCGATTGATCTATTATCTCCCCCAGATCTTCCTCCCCTCCCCGCTGTAATTTGACAGTCTGCTTGTTGATATACTATCTTTATATCTATCTTTTGGTTCATCAAAAACTGTATTTTAATGGTGCTATCCTGTAAGCCACAACATAAGACTCGTTTTTATCTTCTCCTTGTTCCTAGTCACTTCTCCCCACTTCCTGGCATCTTTAAAACTTGCATCCTCAAAGAATTAATTTTTGTTCCACGCTTAAAGGATAACAGCATATTTTGACAATTAGAAAGTTGATGTTTTTATCTATTGAAAATAGCTCATTTGAAGCAGAATAATAGGTTAGATTATGCTCGGGGGGAAATTACATATTTCCTAAATAAACATTTGTGTGGTTTCTTTTTCTCAGCTTGATGGCGCCTCATTTACAATGACATTTTTTGGTCAAGGATACAGCCACAGCACTCCTACTGAGAACAACAAGCCCAACGTCAGAGTTTGTACTCAGGTGAAAGGACCAGGTATTTCACACAGGACTTAAGGACACTTGGGTCTTTTATATTGTGTTAAATATAAGGTGGTATGCTATTCTTCTCAAAACATAATTATTTTAGAAATATATCTGCACAAATTAAGTATTACTGATAAATGATTCTGTCACGAAGGATTAAAATTACTGGTATAATCCAATTTTATTATCGTATCTCCCCTCTGTTTTTCTTTCTCGGGATTCAGTGATTCTGCATGGCAGGGATTTTTGTTTGTTTGTTTGTTTGTTTGTTTGTTTTGCATGGCAGGTTTTAATATTAAAAGAGAAGGGGCTGGTTGATATCTGTGTGGTCCAAGGCTTCTTTGGACTTTGTGATTACCATGATATTGTTTATAAAATGGGTACATACATGTGCATTTCTCCGGGGAGGGCAAAAACTTTTGTAAGGTTGTTAAAAGTAAGTGTCATCCAAAAAAGTTCTAGAACTTTTTCTGTAAATTTAGATAACTGTACAGATAGTTCCACTTATGAATTATAGTATAATTGTAAGTTTAGTTACTGGCATCCCCGGTAGCTTACAAGAGGTTCGTTTTGCAGTTTTAATCAAGCAAGATGGAAGGATAGCTTTGCATCTTGCCCTTTTTTCAAATGCCCATCTGGGTTACTAAGATAAGTTGATTGTGTTTTTATTATCTGACACTAATGCTACCCAGCTGCTTACAGTGACTTCTTGAAGTGAGACTTCTCTTAAAGTTACTCAGGGTTTTTTAAGAAATTGAGTCCTTTTTTAAGTGAAGTGTAGTGTGTTAATAGAGAAACAAGAAATCCCTGGGTCATTGGCTTTGGTTATTGTCAAGAGGCAGTGCAGTATAGTGGCTAAGAGCTACCTGAGTGCACTTCTGGCTCAGCCACTGCCTACCTTTGTGAGTTTGGACCAGTCACTTAAACTGTCCGTGCCTCAGCTCCTCGTTTGTAAAATGGGATTAAAATAGTGCTAACCTGCCCTAATCGGTTTGGCTCAGTGGATAGAGCATCGGCTTGCGGATTGAAGGGTCCCAGATTCGATTCCGGTCAAGGGCATGTGCCTTGGTTGTGGGCACATCCCCTACTGCAAGAGGCAGCTGATTGATGATTCTCTCTCATTGATGTTTATAGCTCTCTATCCCTCTCTCTTCCTCTCTGTAAAAATCAATAAAATATATTTTTTAAAAATAGTGCTATCCTTAAGCACTATTGCTAAGGAGAATTAATGAGCTTAGTAAATTTAAAGCACTTAATACAGTTCCTAACACTTCGTTAAGTACTATATAAATATCATTATTTTTTTATTAAATGAACAAAGTATTGAGATAATTCTGTATACCTAGAGTTAGATCTAAAACCTATTTGATTTTTGGGCATTTTGAATGAATATTTTATGAAAACTTTTTCTTTGTTCAACTGTTTTCTGCAGAGGCTGGCTATATAGCTACCCCCATAGCCATGGTCCAGGCAGCCATGACCCTTCTAAACGATGCCTCTGATCTTCCGGCCGTGTAAGTGTGGCTCTCTTCCACGTGAGGGTCGCTGTTCCATGTTTCTTTTAAGCTTGCTTTGATCTGATTGCAGGCACCTGAGTATTTACAGTTCCTTTGATACAGAGTTAGAGGTAAATTAAAACTGTGAGGAGGAAAATTCTTTATGGGCCTCTGGAAACAAAGCAGAGGTCAGGGAGAGGAGGCAGACGTTTGAGAGCCGTGTAAGGTGGCTTCATTTCCCGGCGCGCTGACACCAGCGTGATTGATTCCTGGTGTCCTGGCCACATGATTGCCAAGGGGACTGTCTACTGGGTATTTGGCTGTTGCCTGAAAGTAGGCCAGCCTCACAGGAACACAGAAGTAAGTAAGTTTGACCTGAAACCCGTTAAGTCATAAACAGAAAAATTACATAAAGTGAAACCTAATTAAATTTTTTCAAATACTTGTATATGCTTTGACTATATTTAGCATTTACATTTGGCCATTACATTTCAAGAAACTTTTTTTCATTCGGTTTCAGTCCTCTTTATGCTTTATTATTATTGATTTATTCCACTCAGGTCTTTATTTATCCTCCTGGTGGGAGGGCTGTCTGTGAAGGGCGGTTCCCAGTGGGTGGCGCTGGGTGTGCCCCTGAGCAAGGTGCTGGGGAACAGGCACTGGTCGCTGCATCAGCTCAGTGCTGGGTGCCAGCTTCCTGCTCATTGGTGGGCTTAGGAATTAACCCACCCGAGCCCAGAGCCCAGAACAGGTTTCTGCTTGCTCAGCGGAGGAAAGGGCTGGAGACAGACAGCTTTGTGAATATTTGTCTCATTTTTGTCTTTCAGGGGCGGGGTCTTCACACCCGGAGCCGCTTTCTGCAGAACAAAGCTGATTGACAGACTCAACAAACGGGGCATTGAATTCAGTGTCATCAGCAGTTCTGAAGTCTAAACAATTGAAGATTTTTCCAAAGTCATAAAGTGCGTGAATTAACAGCTTTTTTATTCGATATTTGAAATTCTTCTGTAAGCCTGTCTGGCTCTATGTGGAAAAGATTACCAAATCTAAAATATGTTCACACTAAAAGCAGGAATTCCATTAGCTTACCCTAAATTTCAAATCCTAGCTGATTTTGTGATTTTATTGCTTGTTAGAGAGAACCACTATTTGACTGATTTTTTTCATTGAAGAATTCATGGTCAATTTTTATAAGTGAGCTGGCAGATCAGAGGGTGGGCGGTGTCTTTATCTGGGTGGCTAACAGATCCTTTCATGAGGCACCCAGGCTGGTCACGGCCTCACTGCTGATTTCCTTGCCATGGTACGGAGTGGATCTTACTTTCCAATGAGTTTCTCTACGCATGTGTGGGCCTTTGCCAAGTGAAACTGTACTTTTGTTATTTTAGCTTAGTTTTCACCCATCTACACAGATTGATTTTGGACTTACCCAAGTTGCATAATAAAGGATTGTCAATTGATTGGTGGTTTTGTGTTTGATAATTGGGTAGTGGTAGAAACGTGCTTCCCACGTACAGCCTTTCCCATAAGTCCCTGGGCCCTGGTATTCAACAGAAATCATCGGCCTAGACCCCACCCCCAGGGGAGTTTCAGTGTCATCCTATTTGATTCCTAGCTTTCTGTCTTTGAGAGCAAGAGTTGGGGTTGTCACCCGTTTCCTTCTTCCTGGTTTCTTATGCAAATAGGGCTGACCATTCCCCCGGACAGCCCTGCATGTTAAAGTAGCAGGTGATTAGGAATGCAGCCCCTTAGCCAACCCCCTGCTTACTCACAGCAGCCTTGAACACGCCGTGGGTGTATAGTCTTTAAAGCCTCAGAAAGGGGGAATGATAGTGCCGAACCCGGTATGATGGTGAGAATTAAGTGAGCTGTTGGGTGTTTAGCACTCAGATAAATTCCTAGGCACAGAGTTAAGCGCTGTCTCGGGAGGGTTCTTTACAGCCTCTCACAGACCAAGTGCCTGTCAGTCCTCCACTGAGCCCCTTCGGTGAGTTCTTTGTGGAATCAAGACTGCTTGGAGCCGAAACCGGTGTGGTTCAGTGGATAGAGCAGTCGGCTGGGAACTGAAAGGTCCTGGTTCGATTCCGGTCAAGGGCATGTACCTTTGTTGCGGGCACATCCCCAGACGGGGGTGTGCAAGACGCAGCTGATGGATGAATCTCTCTCATCGATGTTTCTGACTCTCTGTCCCTCTCTCTTCCTCTCTGTAAAAAATCAATAAAATAAGTATATTTAAAAAAAAAAAAAGATTGCTTGGAGAGCCTGCTTGGTGTGGCTCTGTTGGTTGGAGCATCATCCCATTCACCAAAAGGTGGCAGGTTTGATTTCTGTGTGAGAAGCAATAGACTGATGTTTCTCACATCAATATTTCTCCCCCCACCCACTTCCTCTCTCTGGAATCAATTTTTAAAAATGTCCTAATTGGTTTGACTCTTGGAGAGAGCATCTGCCTGTGGACTGGGGGTTCCCAGCTTCAGTCCCGGTCAAGGGCCTGAGCCTTGGTTGCAGGCACGTCCCCAGTGAGGGGTGTGCAGGAGGCAACTGTTCGGTGTTTCTAACTCTAAAAAATCAATATAAAATATTTTTTTTTTTAAAAGTTGCTTCCAGATTAACTGCAGGCAGATCTCACAACAGTCTTACTCTCTGCCACCCAAGACCCTGTACGGACACCCTCGGTGCAGGCACAAACACTGCTGAGTGGACTGGAGAGCCTGTGAGGACAGAAATGAGAGCAAGGCCATAAAACGGCACGAACAGCCACTGCCTCTGTCCGACAGCAAGACACTTATCAGAAGGGCTTTATCGGAGGTTTCAAACTTCACCAGGAAAAGGTTAAGGCAAATGCTGATCACTAGCCTTCGTGTGCCAGGGACTATTCTACGGGCTTCCTGTTACTGACTTATTCCTGTGCTGTGTGAGAAAAGAGAGGCTCAGAGAGGTAAAGGCATTTGCCTCAAACTGCACAACTGTTGGGTGGATTGAACCAGAGGCGGTCTGGTCCCAGAGCTCAGAATGCTAGCGGTTCCCTTCAGCTCCCCCACTTCCCCTTCACCTGCTGTGGGCTCATTTCCACGGAGTTTAAATCAAAGTGAAGAAGAGCTTTGCTTAAAAATGGTGGGAGAAATAGGTTAGATAATCGGGAAATGGATCCAGAGCTGCTGGTAGGAGACGTCTAGCTGGCAGTGTTAGGTTCAGAAATTCTCCTCTGCCCTCCCCCGGCCCTGCCTTGCTCCTGGACTTGTCCGTCATGTGTGACTGACAGTCACACGCAGCTGTCTGCCCCCCGGAGCTGCTGTGGCAGCCCGTCCATGTGCCCTGAGGGCGAACATGGACACAATGCACCACCAGAGGGGCCAGTGTCTGCATCTGAGCCCCCACTGCTCCCCCCCACACACGATGTCCCTAGAAACGACCAGAAGTTCCCACCAGCAAATACCATGGAATGTTAGAGTGGGAATTGTGAGGGAGTGTGTATGAGAGTTCTGTGCATTGCTTTGGAAACTTTTCTGTACATTTCAAGAATTGTTTTAAAATTAAGAATTACCCACACGTGCTCCCCCACCAGGCAAGGGGCTGGGAACAAGGGCAGAGCATCTGAGCGTGAGGACAGGCTGAGCTCCTGGTCGAGATGCGCTGGGGAAGGTGCCCTGAGGAAGCCACGGACGCCACAGAGAAAAGCTCTCTGATGCAGAGAGACGCCCAGAAAAATCTCCAGAAATAGGGAACTGAGGCAAAGGGATAGCTGTCCTTTTGAGGATGCAGAGGAGCCTGAGCCAGGAGCCTTGCAGCTACGACTCACGTGGATGGGGCCCGGACTCAGAGCTGTCACCTGCTGGCATGTAGGAGATTGGCAAGTGACAGTGACTTCATTCCAGTGGAAGGTCATTGGCCTCAAAACCACTTGTCTGACTCAGCAACCTCATCTCCATCCTCCCCCCATGTGCTAATACCACCACCACCACCTTCCTCCCCCCCTTTGCCTCCCTACCCCTGTCCTGCCGGAGCCATCTTTTTTTTTTAATTAATATATTTTATTGATTTTTCACAGAGAGGAAAAGAGAGGGATAGAGAGTTAGAAACATCGATGAGAGAGAAACATCCATCAGCTGCCTCCTGCACACCCCCTACTGGGGATGTGCCAGCAACCAAGGTACATGCCCTTGACCGGAATCAAACCCGGGACCTTTCACTCCCCAGGCCGACGCTCTATCCACTGAGCCAAACCGGTTTCAGCATCCCGGAGCCATCTTACCCAAGGTGACCAGACCAGACATCCCGCTTTTGGCGGGACAGTATGATTTTTAACAATTTGTCCTGCGTCCCTCGGAATCAGGACTTTTTTAAAACGCCGCAGGACGCGGGACAAATTGTTAAAAATCAAGACATCTGTTCACCTTAATTTTACCCCCATTCATGAGAGAAACAATTGAATGAATTAAATCTTGGACATGTGCTCACCCTACGTTTGTATAGGAATCATAACTTTCTAAACGTCGTTGTTTGACACAATAAAAGACGGTTTTCTTAAGGAAAGCGGGATAGCACCCAGTGAATTCGACTGCTTTCAGCTCAGCCCGTGGAAAATGCCAGAAGCCGGGCCGCTGCTCGTCACGCTTGTCCACATCCACCCCCTCTGCAGCTGCTCTCTCCAGCTGGAAGAAGTCACAAACTGGCTCTCGTCCTCACCGCCTTGCTCTGAAGGAAACCTGATGTAGAGGTAGGCGCTGGTGGATCCCAAAATGACGCGGTCTTAGGAGGGGAGGGTCAGCTCAGAGGGAGGATGCTGACCTCACACGGCCCTCAGAGGGGGTGAGGTCAGGTGCTCCAGGATGGCCAAGGCCCTGCAACCAGCCCTGCTGTGAGAAGAGACTCATACAGGAGGAGGGGAGGGGTGGCATCTTTGCTATTGTGTGCATGCTTTCATTTATTTCTTCCTTTATTCCACATGGAGCACTGATGCTCCATCAGGCACTGGAAATCAGTGGGGACCAAACAGACCCAACCCCACCCGTCCAGGACCGTATAGACTGACGATGTGACACCCAGCGAGATGGCTGGAGGAGAGGGCGGTGCTTCTGCAGAGAGTGCAGGGGGCCTGGTCACACGGGGCTTAGAGACGGTCTCTTCTAGGTGTTTGACCTAAGGGGAGACTTCAGGCTGGGGCGTTTGGGGGGGGGTGTGGCGAGCCGGCACAGCCATGGCATACTCAGCCTCAGGGCGCCTTATGTGCCATGCCAGCTCAGCCTGTGAGCCTGAGAGGGGGCGGTGAAGGATGAAGAAAAGACAGATAAGAGAATGAAAGCTGAGTCTGGGTGGGATGCTGTCCTCTCTGATGGAGAGCAAGCGACAGCACCACAGACTACAAGCTGTGTCTTTATTTTATAGCCGATGCCAGGAGCGAGGCACAGTAAGGGCGTGGTCAGGATGTTTAAAACGTTCTAATCTACTCAATTACATGCACCTGAACTCTATCAAGCCCACATCACTCAGCCACGTGGGGTTCACACAACTGCAGCTGTTGGCTATCATTGTGTTAACACCCCCACTGAGGGTCATGTGAGGTCAGCATCCTCCCTCTGAGGTGACCCTCGCCGTCACCATGGAGACGAAGCTGCAACATTTGGTAACTTCCCTCCAGACCACAGAGGCAGGGCTGGGCAGGGCTGGGGGCTTGACCCGTGTCCCTCTGCCACGGAAACACAGTGACACGGCAAGGCCACGGCCACGGCTGTGGAGCTGGGAGATCTGAGGAACTCGGGTAGAAGCTCCTCCCATTTACAGTCCACACAGAACAGGAAATCCTGTGTACTTGCCCTCTGACTCCTACTGACCCTTAGAGCTCAGCGTCGAAAACCCAGCTACCCTGTACATGGACTGTTGCTTTAACAGTGCATCTGGCTGCTGCGTGCACCCCATGTCGTGCCCACACCCCT